TAATTATGGAGTGTGATTTATTTTCAACTCAAAATATCTTCAAACTAACGAAATATAAAGTTATTTGTGAAAAAAATCTTAGAATACGAAAACATTGGTGAATGCCACAAATTCTCCTAAATCACTCGTACACACAACTTAAGAACAAATCTGTGCGTACGAACGGTTCTTGCATGAGGCCCATTGTCTGTTAGTAGCAGTGTGTGTGAGATAGAAGACCTGCTAGTTTCAGTAGGAAGGCATTCAGTGGTGAATAGCATGAAAAAGAGTTAGAGCAGGTAACTAATTTTGACAGAGGGCCACTTCAGCATTATTTTGGCCTTGAAAAGGGCCAATTGTAATTAACCTAAATGTTTTGTGTTTAACTTCGACTAAAAGCACCTATGGTATAGTGTGATGAATAGAGATGGGTAAAGAACCCATATGAGCAAGGGCCTCATAATTGGGCCCATTACTCTCCCCATAAAAGACACTGAGATTTAATCAAAGCTTTGAGTTCCTCAGATGAAGGACACCAGGTTAGAAACACTCAGTGTTCTGAGCTTCTTGGAATCCATAGAAGGTTCTCCAAGAATTATTTTCCTGTGACTGCTCAGAGCCAGGCAGTGGTCTAAATAGTGCCAAGAGGTCTCTAATTCAATGCCACAGGCATCACACAGACCTCATGAAGTCCATCACCATTTTGGGGTGATTGAGCTGGTTGTGCCCAGTTAGAACTCCAACAAGTGTATTTAAAGTTTTCCTTGTCAGGGAGATTAGAGCTTTCCCAAGCCTTAGATTTGAGCCATTTATCAGTTCCTATGCCTGTCAACAGCCCATCAGCTCCCTCCAGCTGATTGGGTGATCCAGGCCTGTACAGGGCAGTCCTGCAGACTGTTGTTGAGATACCTACAACAGGCTCTGGGGTCTCATTTATAAAGGATAGCGTGGAAACCATACTAAAAGTGAACGTATGGCCAAAATGCGAAAAGGGTGTACACCAAAAAGTATTCAGATTTATAAAACCGTGCGTACGCACGTTTCTGCGCACCTTTCATTTATAAATCACAGCCGCATCTCAGAGTTTGCGCACGAGGTCCCGCCTCAGGTTCTACCCTCTACACGCCCACACTCAACCATAAACAGTCAATGTAAAGTACCTCATGAATGTTAAAGGGCCAATATTATGTGTTTCTCAGGCATACATTTAAATACTATACCATAATAAAGTATCT